AGGGCTTTAGGGTTTAGGGTGTTGGAGTCAAAAAGCCCTAACCCGAAAGGCGAACTCTTCGAGACTCGAAGCTGGATCTGGAAGAGCCCCCGCCGGGGCTCACGCAGAGAAGGCCTAGGGTTTAGGGTTTAGGGTTTAGGGTTTAGGGTTTAGGGTGAATCGCGTTTCGAAGAATTCCGAGCCCGTACATTTTGATCGAAGTCTTTAGCTTAGGTGTTTTCTGGGTGTTTATGGGCCTTTGATGGTTCTATTACAGTGGCCGTAACAACGAAACAAGGTTTGCAGGTATGTTCTAGTATAGTTATGCATGCGCTCACCGGGGGCAGTATAATTGACGATTCAACCTGCCACTACCACGATTTCTACCGGTACCACCGCCAACGACAGCGCCTGCGAGGACAACGATTACTGCTGCCATGCCTACGATGCTTTCAGTCTTCTAAATCCTTTACTGCTCCAACGATGGCTACTACGTCGCAGGCGACAGGACGGCAACCACGACGACGATCTTCCCATCTCCATCATCCTCGTAAGCCACCCCAAAATACCTAGGCGTACTAGTATGAGTGCCATTGGGGCTGGTGGAAAACACGTTTCGTGGTAATGTAAGTAGCAGTCATCGTCCCGGTCAAACGCATGGCCAGGTTCAAACTTAGAAGCATCAGCACCATTGCGCCAAAAATCTGTGTAGTGCCTTCGATGGGCACTTCAAAAACACTGCATGAGGTGTCGCTCCCAACTGTCATTCTCAAGTCTCTCACATATCAGCTGCAAGTACCAAGAAATCCAAAGTCCTCAATCTCTAGTAGACATCCGAAATCTAAGCGTTTTTTGCTGCCTAAAGCCATAAACTTCAAAATCTCTAAAACCCATAAACTTCAAATATCTCTAAACCCCTACATCAAGGGGCCTTCCACCCCAAAACCGCAAAGACCTTCAACCCTGAACCCTAAAAGTTAGCGATATGAGCCGTCAGGTACCAGGCTTTCTTCGAGCTGCCTGATATGGATCAGACACGGCCCTTTGCGAAAGTCCTGAGCCCTGACTGGCGTGGAGTTCTGAGGTTGCCGTAAGGGTTCTGTAAGGGCTACTTCTGAAGGCTCAAAAGGGCTAGAAGGCTTTAGGGCTTGAAGGGTTTTCAGCGTTTGCTGAGGGTTCGGGGTTTATGGTTTGGGGATGTATGGGTTAAAGGGTTCGGGTGTTTTAGGGCTTGTTGATATCCCAGCCATAAATACGAGGTTTAGGGTTTACGGTTTCGGGTTTGGGGTTTAGGGTTCCTAGAATTCGTTTGACAATGACCCCAAATTAGGGTACCCCTTTGTTCTCAAGAAGGAGCCACCGTCGTAAATGATGCACCAGAACCCGAAACCCCGATTCCCAAACCGGAACTCGAGGTAGACATGTTGTAAAACTATGTCAGGATGCAAGCATTGTAGGCCCCGCCGCTCGACGCTCTTTCGCATGAAGGCCTTGGAATTGTCATACAGAGGACTCTATAAATCGTAACACTATACCTGCTTACAGTCCTTGTATAATCATACAACCCAAAGCCTTCGTTTGATAAACAAGGGCCCCTAAATTAGTTCGATTCCTTCTTCCTTCCAGTGCAACATCCGCCAGGCATTGCCCAAACCCTAAACCGCAAACCCTAAACCTTAAACCCTAAACCCCAAACCCCTAAACCCCAAACCTTAAACCCTAAACCCCAAACCCCTAAACCTCAAACCTCAACGAAAACGGGACCCGAAGGCTTACGTTCCTTCTGGGGTTCATCTTCATGCCCATGTGGCCCTATGCGATCCTGAGCCTCGGCAGCCCGTGGCATTTAGGTTTGGAGTAGTTTACTTTTTGAGGCTTAGTGTTTCAGGGTTTAGGGTCTTAGGGTGTAGGATTCACGGCAAGGTTTGCGTGATGTTTGGTTCTTGTTGGGCAGTGTTTTGGGAGTACGGGTTCAGGGACGAAGGCGGTGAAGTGTGTAGGAGGGCAGGAATCGTTCGAGGTTGAACGGGTAATTCCAGCAGGAGAGGTGTGCGTTGAGAGGGTTTGTGACAGGTGTTGGGGCTACAGTACTTCAAGGAATGTTCAGGATTGCTTTTCAGGGGTGCCGCAAATTACGGGTTAGGATCTTGCCGGAAGAATGGAGATCATGTCCGGTGTTTTGCCCCCCAGTCTCTTATCTACAGGCGCCAATGGCCGTAGCTACATATCTCTGCGTGCGTGTATATATATATATATCTATATCTATATATATATATATATATCTATATATATATATATATATGAATACAAATATGTTTGCATGTAGGCATGCAGGACCGGTTGACTGGTTGACTGACAGGCTGTTGGTCTGAATGAAGGGATGAAGCAATGAATGAACGAACGAATAAATGAATGCATGAACGATTGAATGAAATGAAATGCAACATGAAGGCAAGTAGCGGATGTGCTAATGCAAAGCAGAGGTGAACATACCTTCTTCGATCTGTCGAGACAACTGGTACCGGCTTTGGGGCTTTAGGGGTGGATCAATGAGCTGAAAAATCAAAAGGCAGTACATGAAACGTCATATAACCTAGTGTAATGCTAACGACATGTTCATGTAATGTTAATGTAATGTTGATGTAATGATAATGTACTTCTAACCTAACGTTAATGTAACGTGGCAGTAGCATTATTTGTTGATGTAATGGTAATGTAATGTTACTGCAATACTGATGTAATGATACTGTAATGCAGTGTTAACGTATTGTTACTGTATTGGCAATGCAATGTCAGCAGAATGTTAATGTAATGTCAATGTATCGTTAGTGCAATGCGGTTTTGATGTTAATGTAGTTCAATGTAGCGGTAATGTAATGTTAATGTAATGTTAATGTAATGTTAATGTAATGTTAGGGTAATGTTAATGTAATGTTAACGTAATGTTAATGTAGTGTGACTTACTGCATATGTAATGTTGTTACAGTGTTAATGTACGCTATTGTAATGTTAATTGTAAATGTCAATATAATGTTGATGTAATGCTAAGGCAATGTTGAAGTAATGTTAATGGAATGCTCATGTAGTTTTGTAATGTAATGTTAGTGTAATGTTGATGTAGTGCCAGTGTGCCGTTCAGCAGAATGTTCAGGTAACGCTCATGTAATGTGCATGTAATGTGAGTGCATGTTGTTGGAATGTTCATGTAATGCTACTGTAATGCATGTCCGTTCACTGTTGGGTTCTAGGTAAGCTTGCACTGTTTGCCGTCAGGTATGGTGAACATCTCGTGTGTCGTTTGTGTGGCTAGAATGTGCTGCTTGCAATCCTTGAAAGAAACTCATGGTCCCAGACAACCTGTTGACCTAGCTCGGGCTTCCACATCTGACGTGTTTCCCCGTGCTCAGGATAGCTGCGGTTGCTCTCTTCTTGGAGTACTGGGCGTTCAAGGACTTTGGATTTGCTGTTGCAAAGCATGCGATGCCATCGAGTCGGCTTAGATCCTGTGCGGGCAGAGATTCTGCGGTTGTGGCGCTGGTTTTGGGGATCTCCGGGCCTGCAGTGCGGGGGTTGATCTCGGCTGTCGCACTGTTTTGCGAAATACATGCGAAGCAAGAAGCCTCGAACGCATCTGGCAATTCCAACCAAGCCCCAAAGTGCTTGACCGTGGTGTCTGAAGCATCAGTGGTAGTAAATAGTAGTAAATCCATTCCGAAGAGAAGCAAGCTGGAGCGACAGTCAGCGTGGCAATGGTAGTGGCCATGCTTGCCATCATTGTCAGCAGTCATGGTCAGTACGAGTAGCGGTAGCGATTGAAATCCTAAATCGTGCTCCTAGAGCCTGGGCGCCTGGGTGTGGTCTGCAGCAAGAGCCATGCCTATCTTCGGAACCCTACGCCCGTCCTTTGCCTGACAGTATCAACTCCTCCGGCAGAGCAAACGGCCATACCGGCAAGGCTCACGCCGGGTTGGGTATGAGGTTCTTGGAGGTTCATGGGTAGTTATAAGTAGGATTATAAGTAGGGTAGCTATAGTTATAACCTACATTAAGGGGCTTACAACTCCACTTATAACTACCCCCGAACGTCCAAGTATGAGGTTTATATTATGCCATCAGGTTGGGGGCTCGCTTGGACTGCCACTTCCATGAACCAGAGTAGCAGCCCGGCCCATCGAGTAGCCTTCATGCGAATCATAGAAAAGACGTCAGTTCTAATGGCATCAGGAGTGTAAGGTTTTGGGAGAGGCAAGGGAGCGCTTCAGCTTAACATGGTCTAAGCGAAGGATCGCCGAGCTTGCCGGGCCATATTCAGAAGGGTTTGCCGGTCCCCTAAGCCCTGAACCCTGCACCCTGAGCCCGAAACTAAGCCTCCTGGTACTGTTGTATCATCTCCTTACTAGGAGGGTTTTCTCTTCAAGTTGAATGCAACCCACAGCCCGGAAGTCTTCAAGGCGGGAAGGTCGCGCTGCTGCCGTTTGTCAGTATTAATATCAAAACTCCCGTTTTGTTTCAGCCGTTGGTGTGGTGTTGCCGTTCTCATTGCTACAAGCATCCTTGTGTTTGCTCTTGTCCTCAGTTCTGTCTTGTTGAACGAACTATTGAATTATCTGAGCCACAAACACCGAGTTGAAGATTTCCGGAGGCATCAGGGAGTTCGGACTTGAAAGCCGAAGCTGATGTCCCTTGCCAGGCCACGAGGTATCCTATGCGGCCCTGAGGCCAGCAATTTTGGGCCCCATTTGGAGTTTCGAGAATGGAGTTTGTCTCAGGCTTTTGCTTCAGTGTTTAGGGTTTTAGGGTTTTAAGGTTTAGGGTTTAAGGTTTTAGAGTTTTTGGTGGAGGGTTGGGGATTCAGGCCTTGGCCGTTGGGTGTAAGAGCAGAGGAGTTGATTGGTGTCATCACCATCATCATCGTCATCAGCATCACAGCGCTAAACCCTAAACCCTAAACCCTAAACCGTTCGTGACAGGCTACTCTACATCGGCACAGCTGGCTATGCACTCGCGCAGGAGCGCTCAATCGTTCCAAACTTGCAGTCTTCGCTGAACTGAGGCTTGAAGCAGAATTCTTTTGCCGTAACATAGAGGCCTTAATAATCAGAATAGGGTTTTGGGGGCCCATCAAACTATACATATAATAAGGAACCCCCCAAAATAGTATAGGTAGCTATTTAGGCCCCTAGATTAGGTTTAGGGTAGAAGAGTGGGGGCCGGAGGATGGTTGGATTCAGCCTGAGGGCTCCCTCTGTCCACAGCGTGTCAGGAGCTCCTCCTCAAGCCGTCGCTTGCTGAGGTGCCGCAAATCCCGAAGCTGAGGGTTCAGGGTTTAGGGTTTAGGGTTTAGGGTTTAGGAGTTTAGGGTTCAGGGTTTAGGGTTTAGGGTTTAGGGTTGAGGGTTGAGGGTTGTTCGGGGAGTTGGGGTTCAGGGTTTGGGGGCCTAGGGCTTTAGGTGTTTAGGGTAGCTTACGGCGTTGAGAATTTGGGGTTTTGATTTCGGGCTAAGGATTACGTGGAAAGACGATGCCCACCCAAGAACAAAACCCTAAACCCTAAAGGCCCAAAGCCCTAAACCCTAAACCCTAAACCCCTAAACCCTAAACCCTACAAAGCCCTAAACCCAAAGGCGGGATTACGATTGCAGTAACTTTGCAGAGGGCCCCACACTGCGGGGACTTCGACACCGCAGCGATGGGACCAAGGAAGCTGAAAGAGTCGAACACGATAAGCTCGGGAGTGCCAAAGTTGACTTGACGAGGAACTCGGCCTTCCAAGCCTAAGTCGAACCACGTTGTTGGTTTTAGTGTGTAAGATTTAGGGTCTAACGGGGAAGAAAATAATCCCCAAACCCTAAACCCTAAACCCTAAACCCTAAACCCCTAAACCCTAAACCCTAAACCCTAAACCCTAAACCCTAAACCCTAAACCCTGAAAAGAACAGTAAACGCCTCACTCCGGATCCGGAGCCAGGAAGACGGGTCCTGGTCCGACTTCATTACGCTGCCGCCGCATTGCCTGCACTTTGCTCTTGGACTAGGGCATTTATTTTCAGCGCCTAAATTAGCCCCAACATCCCCAAACCCTAAACCCAAAACCCCCCCTAGTGACTAGAGGGGGTTTTGGGTTTAGGGTTTGGGGATGTTGGGGCTAATTTAGGCCCTTAAAACAAATACAAATAAGTTCCGATAGTATAATATACGCCAAAAATCTAGTCTTACGAAGGCCACTATATTATGTGGTAAGGTCCCTCTGGGGTTGCGGCTGCGACTTCTAAACACTAAGTTTTAAGCCCCTAAGCCCCTAAACCCCCAAACCCTAAAACCCTAAACCCCCAAACCCCTAAAGAGCTAAACCCTAAACCCCTAAACCCTAAACCCTAAACCCCTAAACCTCTAGACAGCTAAACCCTAAACCTCTAAACCCTAAACCCTTAAACCCTTCTCCTTTCAGTCGGAGCCTGAGCCGGTTTTTTGTGTAGAACTAGTATGGGAGCTTAAATAAATGCAAACATCATTTTGGGGTTCCTATAATACATTTTACCCCAAAACCCTATTCTTCTTAAGGCCCCTATATTCGGTGCTGATGACGGAGATGTCAAGTTGGTCTTCAGGCTCTTTGGGGCGGCCTTGCTGCTGATGGCTGTATCCGTGAGGGTGCAGAGGCTGGATCAAGTCGGGAGGACGGCATGGCAGGATTTCTGCAAAGCTACTTTCAACAAAAAGAGGTTTTTTGCTGCCGTGGCACGTCCGTCGATACTGTCAGGTGTTTGACATTCAGGTAAATGAATCCGTGCTACAGTGGCGCATAGTATCGTGTTATCCTGCCACCTGCGTGCAGTCGCATACATGGCTCAGTTCATGGTTGGGCAAAGTTTACGTTGATTGCACTTTTCTAGGCTTCCAATTACTAGGCAGGCGCTGCCAAGTCAAGATAGTTCCCAGCAGTCACCGCGTCGGAAGCTAGGGGGCCTGAAACAACATGAGCAACGTAGAATAGACTAGGTTTCCCAGGCAACTTGTATACAGACCCCAGACGCGTCGACCTTTTCTCGGGTGCCTTAATCATCCCAATCCTTCAGCGCTAAAGCATACGGTTTAGGGTTGGGGTTTAGGGTTTAGGGTTTAGGGTTTAGGGTTTAGGGTTTAGGGTTTAGGGTTTAGGGGTTTAGGGGTTTGGGGAAGTACTCCTACACCTCGTAAACCCTCGGTGGGAGACTTTGTTTGCACAGGCTTCTGTGTGGTGGCTTCTTGCTGGGCCGCGATGCGCCAACTGCATCGGAGGCAGAGGAACGTAAAGCCTTAATAATTCGAATAGGGTTTTGGGGCCTACTATGCCATAGTTATGATTGTTATTACTATTTTTATTATTATTGTTATGATAATGATGAACCCCCAAATTAATAGGATACTTCCACAGTGCGACTTCCGGCCGCCAGAACGATCAAATCCTCGCCGGGCCAACAGGACCCAAGAACCCGCCAACCCCTGGGCACATCTCAGCAGAGACGAAGCGGACCGGAAGATTCAGCTTACATCGCAAGGCCTGCTCAAGCGGCCATGCATGCCATGCCATGACATGGCATGGCATGGCATGGCATGGCATGGCATGGCATGGCATGGCATGGCATGGCATGGCATGGCATGGCATGGCATGGCATTGCATGGCATTGCATGGCATTGCATGGCATTGCATGGCATCGCATGGCATTGCATGGCATGGTATGGCATGACATGACATGACATGACATGACATGTGTTCGCGTTTTTGTTTGAAGCCACTGTTCAAGTGGCTGTACTGCTCAAGTGACATGGCAATCCAACTAATGCTACTACTTACTACCGTGAGCTCTACTGCCATCACCGGCATTACCATTACTGATGCCACTACCCACCCACGCCACCCCCCACCACTTCGATTTCCCCCGCCACACCAGCACCGACGAAACGATCCAACTTACAGACATGGTTGGTGCAGTCCGAGACAGACGCGCAACCTGCAGGTGAGATTTAGCCCCGCCCTCAGATAAAATAGAGGGCTTAGCAGTTCGACTAGGATTTTGGGGGAACATTGATTATTATACTGCTTTAGGGATTCCGAGGGGACACTATTACTCTCAGGCTCTTACATTATCTAGTCAAAAGCGTTCTGGTCTAAGATTGGGGCTTAGGGCTTAGGGTTCATCCATCGCAGAGTAACCCAAAAAATCCTTCCCAAAACCCCGGGATCAAGGTTTAGGGTTTAGGGCAATCCAGAAGCCTAACCGTGAAGGTGGACTACTATGTTGCGCAGCGCGCCTGGCCAAAGCACCAAAAGTACCACACCACGAACACGAATCTTTGCAGGTGTTGGATTTTGAACGTTCACTGGAGGTTTTGTTTCGTTTGTCTTCATAATTCAAGGTTTGTTCGCTCAGGACGGGCTTCAGAGTTTAGGCACCTATTTCCGGCCGGACGCAGCCGTTCGTAAACCTTCAACAGTAAGAGAACGGTAAGTCTTCGACATCAAAAGCTGTTCTGCTACAGCGTTGCATGAAGAGTTAAGGATGCTGCAGTACAAACCCGGAGGTGTAGTAGGGGCAAGCTGCTCGCAAAAGGGACCAACGTGTGGAGTCCTTTTTGAGGTTCGGGCTTCAGGGTTCAAGGTTTTGTGCCCGAAACCTTAAACCCCCTGAGATTAGGGTTTGCGGGGAAACTTATTCTGCTTTTGACATTTGAGCCACCCCGTGCATTTTTGTGCAGTTGCCAACAAGCAATTGCATGGGGAGTGTCACGCTGCAGCTGTAAGCTTCTGACACCAGCTGATTGCTCTGCCCGCTCATCTGCTTTCAGCAGTCTGCTTACAGGAGTCGAACTTCACAGGTTGAGGCCTTTGAGTGAAGGTTGCAGATGATGTGTTTCGAACACGTTGCCTTGGGCTTCATGTTTGTGTGGGTCCTTATGTGGGGGTTTCCGAAAATAGGGACCCTAATAGAGTACCCTAATCAATAGGATCCCTATTATAAGGACCCCAAAATAAGGTACCCTAATTTTCTGAAACCCCCATGTAGGTCTTGCAAGCTTCACACCTAGCTGAAGCCTCAACCTCGAAGCCCTGGACGGCTTTGCCCTGCATTGTAGCTGAGGATCTACTTGCTCCTTGGATTGCGGACAGTTGTTGGGGATGCTTTGGGGTTTAGGTGTTCGGGGTTGGGCGGTTCTGCGTGTCGGGGTCCGAGGGATCAGGGTTCTTGATTACTGCGGGGCCATGGTTTGGTCTGCTTTGTGGCAAGCGTCTTATCATTCAAGGATCGTATTATTCAGTGTTCTATCGTATCGGAGCATGAGGGGGCTCCTTCGTGTCTTTTGAAACCATGTGGCAGGCACTTGCTTCGTGTCCTCACTAAGGTCGCTCCCGCAGGCACAAATCCAATGAGGGCCGCTCAATAACTGCACCTGACATTCCGAATTCCGATACCCCGATCTTTGCAAACAGCAGCAGGCACTTAGTGCAGCCTTTGTGGAAGGTCCCATAAGCCCGGAAAGCCCTAAACCTCTACACCTCTAAGCCCAGACGCTAAACCTTAAAAGCAAAATCCTAAACCCTAGTCCCCTAAAGACCTACACCTCCAAACCCCTAAACCCAAAGCCCCTAAATCCCTAGACCGCAACTCCTGAACCCCTAAAACCCTAAACCCTCTGAACCCCAAACCCCGAAGCCTTAAACCCCCCAACCCCGAACCACAAAGAAACCTCGAAGATACGGTTGATGATATAAATCCTGCATTACCTTAAGGGTTCTTAACTATGGGAACTATGGTCTATTCCTTATTATGGGTAATGCAGCATTTGTATAACCTATAAGCCTAAACGCTAAACCCTAAACCCTAAACCCTAAACCCTAAACCCTAAACCCTAAACCCTATACCCTAAACCCTAAATACTCTGTATCATCAACCGTAAGGCAGGGCTTCGAAGTCTTGGATGTGAAGGCGAGGAAGCTGCAGCGACGTGCCGGCAAGCATCGAGAACTTGGGTTTTTTTGGGTTTAGCAAAAAGGGAGCGGAATAAGTAAGTACGGCTGATGATATAAACCCTGCATCACGCATACTAAGGGATATACCATAATTCCCATAGATTAAGGCCCTTAAGGTATTGCAGGGTTTAGATCATCAACAGTAGTACTGTTATTCCCTTGTAAGCGTTCTGCGACATGCTATTGAAATTATGAAAGCCCCTCTGCTATTATTAGACATTAACTAAGGGCTGAGCCCATTGTCCACATTTATGTTGATATGGTTTTCTCGGAATTACAGAACCCTGAACTCCGAACCCTAAGCCATTTTAGTATCATTCGCACTAGTACCACTGCCCGTCTGATGCACAGGCCATTGTTATTCTTCCTGGGGTTTCAGGGGTATCATGAACTTCCTTCCGAACCGCTTCGCTCAGCTTAGGCTACAAGTTGACATAACCAAAACATGATATGGGAGTTTCCGAAAATTAGGGTACCTCAACTTGGGGGTCCTTATAATAAGGATCCTACTTTTTGGGGCACTATTTTAGGATCCCCTATTTTCGGAAACCCCCATATAGCATGCTCAGGCAGTCTATCCCTGCCTATGGAGCAGGAGCCAGGTTAATACACAATGACTGCTTTTGCTGAAGCTTTTAGGCTGCTTTCCGTCTCATAGTCTGGCTTCAAGCACCCTAAACCCTAAGCCCTAAGCCCTGAACCCTAAACCCTAAAACCCTAAACCCTAAAACGCTAAACCCTGAACCCTAAGCCCTAAACCCTAAACCCTCAGGCTACTTGAGGTCTTCAGTGGTAGAAGACTAGAGATCGCTTCTGAAGAGCAGAGCGGTTTAGGGATAAGGGCTCCGGCCCGACACCGTTGCAAGGCTTGGCGACAGTTAGATTAAAAACTTGCCGGGAATCAGCAAAGCCTACCAGCTGACCCGGAGAAGCAAGCCAGGGCTTTGGGTTTGTTTAGGGTTTAGGGTTTAGGGTTTCCACCGCAGTGCATTCATGTCACTCTTGTCATCGTCGCGGTTTAGGGATTTGGATTTTGGGGCTTCTATCTGCCCAACACATGAGAACAGATGAAGGCTTGGTAGATTTCGAGTTTCGGGGTTGAGGGATGCTCCTGGCTTTGGAGTGGCAAGGCATGGAAAGGCAAGATTTAACACGCGCTGCATGCTGTTCACGAGGCTTGCAGTGCGTTTGTTGGGGATATGTGCGATTTGTTTGCATACTCGAGTCTTTTAGGCACGGGTTGATTAAACCGCAGCATTCAAGAAAGCTTGCAACCCAACAGAAGCAAGCCAAGTAAACAAAGGTACTTCAATAGTCAATAGAAAAACATGCCAAAACCAGTTCGGCATTCCACTACCTGCACGGGTAATTATGCGATAGTGCGTCCTGAAACCTTCTCCCGCTGATATGTCGCCGCATCACATTTTAGATATCATCCACCCAAAGTCATAAACTCTAAACCAACCTAAGGTGGGATCCGCGGACCGGAAACGTCAAGGATCCTCTTCTAATCTCGCAGCTCCGCTGCATCTCAGAGGGCAACTTGGGGTTTGCGGGTAGAGGACCTTCAGATTCAGGTTTAGGGTTTGGGGTTTAGGGTTTAGGGTTTAGGATGTTTGTCTTTCAATTCCGGCCTCCTCAAAGCGTCTTGCCATTGCTCAAACTGCTATCAATCACGCTTTTGCGGCGAAGCTGCTGTAAGGCCGCCGACGGCATCGGAGCCAGTCGAGAGCATTGCTGGTGCTGGCCTTACCTACCAGAAGGAGATATGGGAGTTTCCAAAAATAAGGGGTCTTATAATAAGGGATCCTACTATTTAGGGT